GTAAAACATTGAATGAGATTCTAGTGAGCAAAAGTTTCTCATGTGTGTTTGAAGGTCTCTTGTCATGAAAAAACAGTGGAAAACATACATGGCATGTGTAGACTAGCTGTTCTTGAGTACAGCTAGATTTACCAACTGTAGCTCCCATACAAAATTTCAGTTTGATCAGTAACTGCTGTCAGTTTGACTTAGTAGTATGTGACTAAAGCAAAAATTTTAATCCTGAGTTAAGATAACGTTGTTTTTTTCTTTTCACCTAATAATTAACCGTATCTCTTGTATAAGACAGAAATTGAAAGGGTGATACTGTGTGCCATGTGTAGGGATGGACACTGAAATAATGTATGCTTAATTGTTGTTGGAATTTGTACTTTGAACAGTGTTGTGGAAGAAGTGATGGTAGTTTGAATGAAATCGATGTCTTCTGTAATGTAGAAGTCATACAGATGTTCTCCAAAATTTCTGCACTTAGGCACGCAAAGGTATTAAGTGTTTACTTTCACTGGATTCTCTACAGTGATATCTGAGCAGTATCCAGATTATGGAAGTTCCTATAATAAAGGTTTTCATGTTTCTCTGATTCCCCCCCCCCCAATATGAATATATATATATATTTTTAAGGTGATTACTTTGGCTATTGCAAGTTGCTGATGGTGGATTAGTAGAATATGGACTGTTAAAGTAATGAAAGGTATGCTATCCTATTTCTCAAATTATATATAATTTTGTTTTGTTTTCTATTCGCTTGACGTTCATGGGAAGTCTGATCTCTCATGAGTGTGTTGCATAGTCATTTAAGGTAGGATTTGTTTGACTTAGCTTTGACTGTCTAAAAGCTAGTTATCTAGTCCAAGGCTGTGATTTCGTGAACGTTTGAGCTCATGATGTGACAACTCTCTGCTCCTGAAAGGAGAAAGCCTTGCTCTTCCTCCTGCCTATTTACTTGGCTCTTTGTTCCTTTCTCCTAGCCAGTACCAGCTGCCTACTTCCACTGCTGATGTAGCTTGTTGGATTTTTCCATGAGCTAGCATGACTCACTGACCTCACAGAAAACCTATTGAGTGTTTTCTGCTTGTTTAAGTGTGTTGGCTTCTTGTGTTAACTCAGTTCGTGGAAAGGTCTGATGAATGACAAATCTAGGAATGGGGATGAAGACAGGAGGAGTGGAACTCACTGGTGACAGTGAGCTCTTGTATTGGATTACACTTTTTCATTAGTTCATTATCTAGTCTTACTGTAGACCCTTAAGCAGGGATGAGAAAGGGTAGTGTTTGAAGAGTCACTTTCATGAGGCTGTGCTTCCTTTGAGTGTCTCACTTACTCTTTCAGGCAAATAGTTTATTGTTTCACAAGACCTTAGCTGATTCGATTAGAAAAAAAGAAAAGAAAGAGCGTAAAGAGATCTAGAGTTCTGACAGAAGCAGGCAAATGGATTAAACCATGCATTGTGTGAAACAGCTGTTTGGCTTTCAACAGATTTTACTGAGAATTTTACTGCTTGAACAAAACATGGCATAAGGCTAAATACTGTTAATTTTTTTCATCAGTAGTTGCAAAATTACATTCATTGTATCATCCAACTGTTTAAAACAGTGTTCAAATATGATAAATTTATGTGTTTTAAGTGTGGCTGTGGTATGGAAAGCAGAGCCATGAGTGAGTTATATATGTTACCCAGGTGAATTACCAATACATGCTGAAATAATGTAATTTGGTTATGCCAGGTAAGCTAGAAGGAAGCCTTGTTGTTGTAAACAACATACAATAAAAATTGTAATATAAATAAATAAAATTATATGGTATCTTCATATTTTTCTCTAAATACAAGTATTCTCACCATTTTAAGTGCTTGTAGCAAACAAAAAGTTAAAATTAAGTAGCTGAAAAATCTTGTAAAAGAAAAGCCCTTTCACGATGTGTAGATATAAAGAAGAGGGAGATGTGAAGTAAGTCTTTAAGCAAGAGTTTATTTGCATCTCCCAGTATGCAAATAAACAATTCGAGAAGAAAGGCAAAGCAAAGGTGATTCTTGGAAATATAATTGAGTTACTTCACTTAGTTAGATATTCTACAATAATTATTGCTGTTTTAGCTACTGAGTGTGCATTTTTTAGGTTTCAGGACTCTGCACCAATACCTTTATATGTATACCTGCACAAAATGATGTTAAGATTTCATAGTATGAATTCGGGGCAACTGATGCAAGTTCTGTAACATGATAAAATTTGGCAAATGTATAGGTGGAGAATTAATTTTAGATATGATGTGGTTTTAGTTTCTTTAAAGTATGTTTTATGGTTCTCTACTTCTTGAACAGATCTCCAAGAGAGGAAGAAATTTTAATTAGTGTTCCTTTAAAGTATTTCTCAAAAATTATGGGTGTAGTCTTGTATAGTTTTGAAGATTATTTAAGGTCTGTTCGTTGACTATGAGCAAGTACTGTAAGCCATTAGCACAGAATAAATTCTTGTTAGTAATATACTTACCATATTTGTAGCCCTAAACGATGTTGACTATTGATGGTTCACTGCCAGGAATTATTTTACCATTTGGGGAAATAAAACAAAGTTTTTTATTTGTAAGAAAGTGAGTAGGTTAAATATTACAAGTTGCTATTAATGATTTCAAGGAAAGAGCTCTCGTGAAGTATTGAAATCTCTGTTATTGCAGTTTGTTTCACAGTTGTCACCCGGAATGCAAATCATGGAACGTGCCACTAGGTGTCCCTGCAAGCCAAAATAGTTTTGTTTCCTTAAATACACACTGCTTCGGTTTTTGTAGTCTGAAACAACTGTTTGTAAGCTACAATTTTTTCCTTCTGTTCTTTCCTTTTTTTCTTTTTCATGAAATCTTCATGCAGATGAATACATGACCAGGTGTGTGTCTTGCTTTATAATTTGTGCACTTTTTGGTAGTAGCAAAAGCTGTGAGGAGAGAATATACTTCCCACCTGCAGCAGCTTGGAATTGAGAGTACAAAAGGTTGCATTTCCATTTATCTTTTCCTTTTGGTTGATATGCTCTCAGAAAATGCCATGGTTTTTTGGTGTCTTTGACTTTATATCTCTTATGCCACTTCAGAAATACTTCTTATTCAAGTAAGCTGCAGGATTCAGACCCGACTTTAAATCCTGTGTTCCTAATTCTGAGCTTTGGCTTACAGCTTGATAGTTACATTTGGTATCTGTAGCTTATGAAAGCAAAGACCTGAGACAGAGAAAGGTACTATTGCCTGGTGTTGGGTTTTGTTTTTTTTTCTCCCCCCCCCCCGGCAGTGATCATGATAGCCCTGTTGGTATGCTTAGAAATTCTTGGGGATGTGCTGCCTTGGGTTTTCTCTGTGTACCAGAACTTCATGTTCTCTCACATGGTTTACTGTCCATAGGATCACTGACCAGTTCTCCTCATACAGCTGTTGGTTTAACAGTTGAAAATGTTTTCATATTGAGTTTGGAAATTGCTGTTGTCCTTTGTTTCTCAACAACCAACAAAATTCAGGAATGAAAAATAGATACTGTATTGATTAGAAGATTCTTCAGAACTTGTGCTATTAATGTTTGAAATTGGTTGTGCATATAGGACAGTCACTGAGGAGAATGTTCTTTATTCTGATTTCTTACCCCTTATTCTCTCAGCAAATTTGAGTAAAGCAGGATACGAAGTCGCTGTTGTTGCTTTGCCTATACTAGTGTTGTAACTCCAGTAGATTTTCCTCGGACCTTTTTCCATCTTAGTGATGAAGGAAGGAAAAATGGGAAAGAAAACTTAAATGTAAGACTTTCTTGACATTATTACATCTTTTAGTGGAATGAACACTGACTTCCAATGTTTATTTTCCTATGTGGAAGACAGATTTTCATCTTGCTGTTAGTTCAGTGGTTTATAAAGTCAAACAGTAAGCATTTAAGATAGATCCATGAAAGACTGAAAGAATGGAATGGTACAAAACATTGTATATTCAACAGTATATGTAAAGAAGGTGAGGCACTTGCAGTGATGGTGGAGATTTAACATTTTTCCTGTTCGAGTTTTATTTTGTACAAAGTTACACTTTGTACGCTGCAAGCATGGATTTCTTAGAAATCACTTTAGAAGTGTCAGTAATGATCAGATTAATACATCTTGCTTCTAATATCGAAAAGAACTAATGAGGCATATTAGAATACTTCCTTGTTTCTCAGCATCTGTTGATTTGCAGATTCCTCACACCAATCTGATGTTGTCACATTTAGTAAAACTCTTTCTGAAAAGGTCACAAGAAACCACGAAATAAACTTTGAAAACGAGGAAGTGACAAGTGTCAATGATATATTTCAGGGCTGAACTTTGGACAGATATCTGTCTTCCAGACTGTCCATGAAACCTTAACTCTTCTCCAGAGAGTGCTTGATAGGAATTCAACGGTGAGAGTTATCTGCCTTCCTTCCAGCTGAAATGATGGTGTGGTGTATTGAGTAGTACAACTTGTTAGGTAGTGTGACAGACTGTGACTCTGATAAGTAATAGTAAAAGCTATATGTGTCTGATGTCTGTGACCTCTGCTTGAACCCTGGTTAACAAGGCATAATTAGGGCATTACTAGCATCATAGTTTGATCCTCAGTGTACAGCATAAGTAAAAATAACATTTTATGTAATCTGTCAGATAGAAGTGCTTGTGCTTATTTTGTATTGACTCAAATAATCTCCATGTTTAAGTTTATTCTGTGCCACTGGAAGGACTATTACTTTTCAGGGCAGGCAGAATGAGCAGAGGAGTTGCCCTTTCAGTAGAAGTTTCTAACCTGAGTTACAGCAGAGCAGGATTCTTCTGTACTGAAAGCAAAAGCAGCATGTGAAATCTTTGAACTGTGAATGTACATGATTGCTAATTACATGTCCTTGTATTTGTTCAGGTGACTTGATCTTCTGGGATGTCAGCAGAAAAAGTGGATGGCATTGTAGATTAGTTATAAGTTAATTTTTATTTTGTCCTTTCCGTACTCATCGTGAACAGTCATCATAAAATGGATGCTTTGGGCAGTCTCCTTCCTTCCGTGGTTGGAAATGGTGATACGGCTAACTCACAAGAATTACAAAAACTTCTGATTGATGAAAAAATGCGATGTGAACACCATAAAGCAAATTATCAAACTATAAAGGCAGAACATCTAAGGTACACTAATTTAAACAGATTTTTTCTTCATTTGAGCTGTTAAAAGGTGAAGCTAAATGTTAGGTGGAAGGGATTTGTGTGTGTTAGCTATTTCTGTATTTAAGGACAGATTTGAGCATTGGTCATATTAGAAAATAAACAATTCAAAATATCTTAAGACATTGCAGATTATGTTTCTGCAATACTTTTTATGCTTATAAATATGGGATAACTTTTCAGTATATTACAGGAAGAGGATATTAGTAAGCTTAGTTCTAACTTGGTATTTGCTTCTGCACGTGAGTTTTTTGAGCTTTAAGATCTAATTTTAGAGGGTAAATGTAAAATAAATATGTATTTTATCTTGCAGATTACAGGAGGAATATACAAAATCACAAGATGAACTGAAGCGGTTGTTAGTTGAAAAGCAGACTGTACATGACAAATTTCAGTTTCTTCTTGCTGAATATCGAGAGGAGTTGCTGGGTAAAACACAAGAGCTGGAAAAACTGAAGATGCAGGTGAGAATTTACTGGCAGGACTTAATATGAATTTTAATCCTGTAATAGGGCCATGCATATATTTCTGCTTATGTAACATGTATATACCTAGCTTGCATATATTTCAGATATCTTGAAATTCACCCAATCTGAGTAATGTTTCTTCTCTAAAGTGACTATGGGTTGAAATTATTGTTTTTTTGTTTAACTGAATCTTCCAAATCCTGTTGTTATGTGCTATGTCAATAATAAGACCCTCAGTCTTTGTCTGTGTGTGCTCTCCTGTTAGTGGGAGAATCATCTGCCCTGGGGGATAACTTAGATGCCTAAACCTGTTAGGATAAGTGACTGGAAAAATAGACATTTGTTTCTCTTTGTGATGACAGCTTTCTTCATCTTAAAAAAAATCCCAACAAACACAAAAACAGACAAAAAAACCCAATGTTTAAGATAACTTGGATGACGCTTTCTATAACTGCTTGTTTGCTTAAACTAACACAGGACATGTTCTTAGGAAACAAATAGAGCATCTAACAAAGGATCCCAGACTCTGAATGGAGATGTGCCTTGGTACCATAACTAGAATTAGATTTCAGGGACTTCAGGGTACAGATAAGTGGAAGAAAAGTAGAATAAATTACAGGTCGTGGATGAAATTTTTTTTTAACACTTTTTCTTGGTAGATAGTTTGCTGTTTTAACCATACCCAAGAAAACTTAATAAAATACCATGCAGCATGGAGCTTAAGGCAGGGAATCTTTCCTGGTCTTAGTTTCATTTCAAACCAGTACCCATGTATCTGGTGGAGAACATGTATCTAATGTGTTTTACAAAGAATTGGTTTGGTATTGCTCATTTTGATTCTTTGGGGTTGGTTCACTTACTGTTTAAGTTTTTCCATATGCTAATTCTTTATCTTTTATGTATGACCACTTTTCCTTCCCCCCTTCCCCCACAAAGGAGATAATTCAGCTTGACATTTGTATTGCTTCTACCAGTAAATACTGACATTTTAAATGCTTCTGTTATCTTCCCAGAATATGTTTAGTTCACTAGTATCATGATTTTTTGCTTCTGTAACTACTACTGAAAATTCTTTAGAAAAACATAGAAAATTAAACAGGATTCCTAAAATCATATTTGAAATACTTTATTCCTGGCTATTTGTCCTATCACAGTGTAAATAAATGAATATGACTAGTTATTTATGATACCTTTCTGTCTTAAGGTGCTATTTGTAAAATGATACGAAGGCAAAAGTAAAACCTCAGAAACAAGCAGGAATTGGAATCTCCTATGACAGAACGTTATCGGAAGCTAGAAAATGTAAGTAGTAAGTGTTGAAATTCTGTTTCATTTAGAGTAATGATCACCATTTTATAGTTGTTCCTAAAACCTTAGGAAATTAAAACTGAAAGGGGAGCAAAGTATGACATTCTTTACCTGGTACTTTCCAGTACTGTTGCCCCAGGCAGTGAAGGTTGAAACTCCAGAAAAGGGAGTAGGAGGGATTCAGTTCATCAAATATAACTTGTGAAATTATAGGAACATTGCATGGACATTTGAAGGAAATAAATCTGAAAACTTCTCTGATTGATGTTTTTGGTCTTTTTATCTAACTTAGGAAGTGGAAAAATACAGAACAGAATATAACAAACTTCGTTATGAACATACTTTTCTGAAATCAGAATTTGAACATCAAAAGGAAGAACATGCACGTATTTTAGAAGAGAAGAAAATAAAATACGACGCTGAGGTGCATACATTTTAAGCTACTGTAAAATTCTATCCGATGACAAAGCTGCTTGAACATTGTGAAAATGTTGGTACTTGATGTGTTGTCAGTTTGACACCTTTTCATAATGTAGTGTTTGTTTCTGTTCTCTTAATTCTCAAAACACTTGTGACTTAGCCTAAAGCTGTCTCTGTAGGTTTTTTCAGTCATGTGTCGCAATACTTGTGACTTAGCCTAAAGCTGTCTCTGTAGGTTTTTTCAGTCATGTGTCGCAATATGATTCGTGCTATTATAAGTAAGAATAGACTTGCCTTCTGATAAATGACAGCCAGTAGCTTTGCTTAATGCTTTTTTTTAGTCGCATGTGTGATGGAATTTGAGACATTACGCTAATCTGAAATTAGTAAGTTATCTGAGCAATGGATGTAAATTTAATTTTAAATTACTTATGTGGCAACTAATCCAAGAAGAAGGCAGCAGAAGATGCCCTTGTCTGTTAATACCAGACAAGGGTACATTTTGCAACTAAGTTGAATCATGCCAGTGATGGTCAAAAGTATACTGAAAACTTTTTGGTAACTTTATTTCAGTTGTATTAACTCTTGAAGAAACCATTCATGAATTTTCTGTTTCAGAATTGGACTATCAGAAGTGTAGCTAAATAAATTGCCGGCTTATTTATGTTTTAAATATATGCAGCACTGTAAATGAGTGTTGCATATGTAATTTGCATATTCATTTAAGTATTTGTCTGGGAGCATATATCTGGAGATGTGTTAGTCCAAACATGAGACAAATCAAAGCAATGATGGCTTTCAACGTCAATCCTAATTTGCAAATGCGATGCATTAAAAACAGAACAGTTGTCCTTCCCAGAGCTAAATCCACATGCTGCCTTACAGCCTGCTTCTCTTGTGGGCTTGTTGAGTTTGTGCTAGTCCTGCAGCTAATTAGCACGCTTGCAGAGAATGAAACTACCTTGAGCCCAGGGCACAATGTGATCTAGTTTCTCTCTCTTAGAGCCTTTTTAACCTTCCATGCCATTTAGTACAAGGAGGCTACAAAAACATAGAATCATAGAATCATTAAGGTTGGAAGAGACCTCCAAGATCGAGTCCAACCGTCAACCCAACACCACCATGCCCACTAAACCATGTCCCTAAGCGCCTCATCTACCCGTTTTTTAAATACTTCCAGGGATGGTGACTCAACCACTCCCCTGGGCAGCCTGTTCCAATGTTT